CCATGCAGCGCTACAGGCTTGGGGAAGAGTGGCTGGAAAGCTGCCCAGAGGAAAAGGACCTGGGGGTGCTGGTTGACAGCCGGCTGAAGATGAGCCGGCAGTGTGCCCAGGTGGCCAAGAAGGCCAACAGCATCCTGGCCTGTATCAGAAATAGTGTGGCCAGCAGGAGTAGGGTGGTGATCGTGCCCCTGTACTTGGCACTGGTGAGGCCGCACCTCGAATCCTGTGTTCAGTTTTGGGCCCCTCACTACGAGAAGGACATTGAGGTGCTGTGTGTGTCCACAGAAGGGCAATGAAGCTGGTGAAGGGTCTAGAGAACAAGTCTTATGAGGAACGGCTGAGGGAGCTGGGACTGTTTAGTCTGGAGAAGATGAGACTGAGGGGAGACCTTATCGTGCTCTACAACTACTTGAAAGGAGGTTGTAGCGAGGCGGGGGTGGGACTCTTCTGCCAAGTAAACAGGGATAGGACAAGAGGAAATGGGGGGAGGTTTAGACTGGACATTAGGAAAAACTTCTTTAGTGAAAGAGTGGTCAGGCCTTGGAACAGGCTGCCCAGGGAAGTGATTGAGTCACCATCCCTGGAAGTATTTAAATGATGTGTAGATGAGGCGCTTAGGGACATGGTTTATGGGCACGGTAGTGTTGGGTTGGTGGTTGGACTCAATGATCTTAGAGGTCTTTTCCAACCTTAATGGTTCTATGATTCTCTGATTGTAGTTTTCATTACCACCAGTGTATAAAGATACTCAGGTTCACATTTCTACATAGGACTTTGGAACCTTAGCTTTTCTAGTGAAACCACTAACTCTGAAACCTAATGATAAAGCTGTTGCCAGCTGTGATCAGCACTGCTAAGTTTAGCAGAAACAAACAGCTGCAGAAATGAGATGAATGTTTAAGCTTGAACTTAGTACCTATCTCCTTCCATCTGACTCATGACCCCTGGATAAATTACTGAACAGTAACTTTGCAAAGTGTATCATATCTTTTTAATAGTGTTGATTCCTTCCATGCAGTAGATACTTTTAATGAACATGCAGGATGTGACTTTATGTCATGGTTGTATAATTCAATGCCTTTTAAGCTCAACTGATAGCATAATTTCATAGTGGACCTTTAACAGCCCTTGTTTTTCTGACCCTTAATAGCACTGTCTGTGTTCTTCTACTTCAGTGCCCAGTGTGAAACCAGAAGTGACAGAACCTAAATGTCAGCCATGGGAGAAAGTACATCAGTCGCAATGTGTGTGCAAAATGCCCTATGAGTGTGGGTAAGTTCAGGCTGAATTTGGCAATGACTTTCTCACTTTATTCAAGACCAATTAAATTTCTTAAGTCTTCAGTCCATGACAGATGAGAAAGCTTTACTCATATGAGAAGGAGGCATTGTACTTGGTTTGCTTTACAGCTCAATCAATGTCCTGTTCATCACTTACCTGCCTTATCAGAGCTGTCAGTGGGTTTTAACAGTGATGGAATTTGGTTGGATGACAGAAGGTGAATTTCAGGTCCACTTGATCTGTGAAATAGATGGAAAAAGATAAAATGATATTTTAAAGATTTAGAAGATTGAGGAAAAGTTAGAACAGAGGCCCTTGGGACATAAATCATCAAAGCATTAAGCTAGTGAAATAAAGCAGATTTCTTTTCCCTGCTGAGAGACTGGAGAGTTATGAAAGGCACAATAATCTAATTTTTCTTTTACACAACAATTTGCACAGACCAGTCATGTAACCTTTCCTGACCTCATAACTTGCAGACCAGAGTTTATTGTTTCCTGTTTGATCTAAGCCTATATTCTGCAATAAGCAATGCAGGAGAAATGTAAGGAAATGAGTAACTCTCTCAGGTCTTTGCTAAATATGGAGGTAACACAATCAAAACAGAGGAGTAACAAGAAGACACCTGAGACCATCTGGTGCTCATGGCTAGATTCGCCAAGGAGCTCAGCACTCCCACAACTGGGCTGGTTTGCATAGACTGGATGAAGTCTCCTATAAAGTCATCACAGCGGGTGTGAGCTCTGGATATGAAATCTGGCCAGGTTTATGCCATAGCAGGAGCTGAGCAGTTTGGAAACTCTAGGATAACAGACCAAATTTGTTTTATCCTTGTGTAGTAGGAGGAAGAAATTTTGAAGTCGTCTCACGTGATTTTAAGGCAGCAGAACTTCTCATTGGAGGACGTGTACTTTCCATCACCCAAATAGTTCAAGAGTGCCCTGCATGGTGACTCTGATTCTAAGCCAAAATTAGCATGGTTTGAACATCTCAAAATTAAAATTGGTGCGCTTAGTTCAGGTTTTGTAGATCCACTGGGCGCTTCCCTAGGGTCTGAGGCCATTGTCTTGCATGCGATGGTAAGTGCCAGGTTTGTTACAGCTCTGCTAAGACTCTATTCCTATCCTTAAACACTTAAATATTTTAAATAATCTGGTTCTACTCTTTTTGTCTCAATACTCATTGAAGTGAGGCAGCAACACCTCCTCTGGTTCATGGGTGTGTTAAGATTAGTTACATAGAGGAGGGGAGTCCACAGTGCTAGGGAAGGCCTTGGGCAGAGTCACAATAACCTTGGAGGTTAAATGAATTACATTCAGTTATACATTCAGGCTTTAGTTATAATTAGTCTACTACTTGCCTGTTTCTATTTTTTATAATTATGTTCAAAATGGCAGGAAAATAGATAACAGTCATTTCTGTTACCTGATGCCGTCTTTTCACTCTGTCTTGAAATAACACATCTAACAATAGAAGGATAAATCATCAGCTGTGAAAGCAGACTAGTCTGCCAGCCTGTTAAGGCTGTAGGAGGAAGGCATGTAAGCAGTTCTTGGTCCTTCCTCAGAGAGCAGAAGAAACTTGGCTTGCTTGCTGTGGCAGTGACTTTCAGCAGCAGCCTTTGCTCAGAAGAGAGCTGGGAACCAGAATTCACGTGGGAATTCAGGAACACCATGTTTCAGACCCATCCTACATCCTTTCAGTTTCCAAGAGACTAGCAACTGAGATTTGCCAGGACAGCACAAGAACCCCACAACAGGCTGGTGAGGGGTAATTTGACCCTCACAATGTGGTGCCTTAGGCTACATCTATCCTCATGAGTTAGAGCAAGGGAACAATCCTGGGCACCAGAGCTGCTAAATTGCTAAAGCAAGGGCCAACTCCTGGATAATTCCCCGTTACAGCACAGGAGTTACTAGAGTCAGGGACCATTCCCGTCTGATGCAGCCCCCATCTTTTGAGGGCAAATAGAGTTTAACAGTATGGACACCAGCTATTCTGTGTGAATTGGCTGTAGTGCAAGGAAGGGGTCAGAGCATCTGTGTTAATACAGATGAAACCTCAGCCTCCAGTAGCTTAACATTGTCTCCACAGTGAAAAATGAGATTTGATAATTTTTAAGTACTATCCCCTCTTTTTTTCTCCAAATTTATTTGCGTAGCATATATGTCTCTCCTAAGAGTTCTTGGCCTGTGTTATATTAAAACTTATAGTCTTGAATATAATTTTAAGAAGTTAAAATCATTTCCAGCATGCTGAATTTTTCACTTTTTAGTTTCACCGAAAGTTGCCAGCCTCTCATTGTAGGTGAAAGGGAGAGAAGGTATTTGGTGACTTACATATGCTATTTCATTTCTCACGGTATGTGCTTTAGTAAAAGCTTGTTCTTATCCAAGCCTTCTTTTTCAGGTAAAAGGTATTGAATTTCTCATCCTTACTTTACGTAAGGATTCTTCCTTGCCTCTAATAATTTTTATTGCACTGCTGTGGTGCTCCCAGCCCTGTAATATCCTTTCTCAGCAATGAGTGCAAATTATTAATTTCTTTTACGAGTACAGATTCTCCATCCTTTTTCTTATGCATCTGAACACGTTGATTTCCACTGGCTTTCTCCCAGCTGACCCAGCTACAGCAAATATGTGAAGCACTCTCAAGACAGTTTGAGGGATTATACTGTAGCGAGAGATTGGCAACATGGACCATGAACTCCCTTGGGTTCAACCTTTGGCAGCTGGTTAAATCAGCCTCTCTCCCCTCTTTTGGGTGTTGCTGAAGTGGTGGAAAGCAGACGGATTAGTGCACTTGCGTCTGGCCTTAATCTTTTCAGCTAAATTAAGCTGCCTCGTATACAAGATTTTGACCTTAAGACTCAGATATTGCAATTTATCACTCAGGCAAATAAAGAAGGCCTCTGAACAATTTTAAACATAATGAACACCTTAATTTCAGATTAGATGCTTTCCCTGGACCACACGTTGTTCTTCCAAATTTAAGACGATATTTAAAGATTAAGTTTTTCTTATACCTCTGTCTGTAAAGATAACTTTCACATTATAAATCAGTGCACCACTAACTCATAGGCTGTGCAGCCAGACGAGGAACAATATAATGCAGACAAACGCACCGGCTTCCTTTATCAGCTGCTTGGTGCTGCATATTCATTGGGCTGTCCACTTGTTGTGCCTCAGAGTAAGAGGGTTAACCTCATTCTTTATGTCAACAAAAGAGCATTAAGGAAAATTCAGGCAACAAACTTTGCTAGGAATTTAGTGGCTGGTATTTTGACTAAGCACAGCAGTTAAGGAACCCATGGCAGTTGAGGATACTAACTTAAGTAGGAGATGTAATAAAGTTAATAATCTTTGAAGACATATTTGGTTGCGGGTAGATGCAGCAAATTTTTCGGGCTCAGCTAACAAACTCTGTGCCAAATTTTAAATATCTTAAAGGTGCACTATGTTACAGATAGTTTAAGCTTTCTGTAAAGCCAGCTTTTTTAAGAGGCTTCAAAACCATCTCTCAAAGAACCATTCCCAAAGCTTGGAGCAGGCACTTTTCCTCAGTGCCTTATTTATAGATCTACTAAAATCCACTTCCTAATTCCCAGGAAAAAAAAAAAAAAAAAAGAAAAATTACCTTGGCCTGCAAATGAGCAGGGTTTGAGTCAGGACTTTATTACTAGACCTTCCCTCTTTCAGATTCCTCTTCCCTACTCTGACAAGCCACTTACACAGGGACTGTTACCCTCCCCTTCAGGCAGCCTCATGAATTTCATTAGGGCCATTTGCCTGTTCCTCATCAGCCTCTCCTCCCCACCAAGCACCTGTTTAGCTAAGGTTGACCCTCAGAACTGACCCATTAGACACTAAAAGTTTCTGTGGGAGTGTTTGTGAGCTCAAAACGAGAAGCTGTGCTGAAAATAAGCCTTTGGAGCCGTATTTCAAAGCTCTCCATCCCCTGGGAGCATGCTCTTGTGCTCTGCGCAGCACCTTACCTGTGGCTGTAAAGTGCATCCAGGAGAGCACAGGCATGCCCTGCTCTGTAGAGGCACTTTTTTTGTTCACTCCACACAGATGCCACTGATTGCATTGAGAACAAGTGGAGGAGCTTGGGGTTTGAGATTAAAATCCAGAAATAATGGAAGGGCTTTTTCCTCCCCTCCTACACTTACAGCATGAAACACAAATGATAACAACTTCCTGGAACTGTCCTCAAAGCAAACACTGTTTAAGGTTATCCAAGAATTGTTATTACCACTTTTACAAGCTAATATTTGTGGGGGTTAGAACAATATCTGAATTTCGAGAAATAAACAAGCGAATTCCCTGGATAAATAGATAAATAGGTTTTCCATAAAATTTCTGTGGAGATGTATGTATTTCCAGAAATATCTTTGGTCTCAGATGTTGGATCATAACATTTTATTTAGCAAAAGCTGAGGCTGTTAAAGGACAGCAGAGAAAAGGTCTTTACGTATATTCTAATGTCTTACAATTAAGAAATACTTATAAAATATTTTAATACATGTGCGTGTATGTACATATCATTATACGTATATGAAATGTTTTCTGTGTATGTACTTAGGTGCATGCAGAATAATTGAGATCTGAACTCTTTTTAACTAAAGTCTCGCTCTCACTGCTACTGAGGTCAATGGCAAATACCCAGTAATATCCCTGTCCTTCAGAGGGGACAGATCCTGGCTCTGCTGAGGTGCAGCATCCTGTGGAAAAGGAAGGACTCTGAATTATTCACATATCTATGTCTCAAGTTTCCTTGCTGCTCTCTTAGGATGTACTTCAATGAATGGGGAAATTGGAACTGGGCCCTGAATGTTTTCCACTCCTTGAGCTCTTTTTAAGAGTTACCAAAATAAAACACATTTAAATAGCACGACTGCTTTTGTTTTCAGTCCTTCCCTGGACACCTGTGCTACAGATCAAAGAACCAAGAGAAACACACCTTTAACTGTTTGCAAGATGCATGCCTTGGAGTGCATGGGCAGAAAATATTCTCTTACTAATGCAGAAAACTGCAAAATACCTCAGGCACCTGAAATATCATGTGGATCATGCCGTTCGTGGGAAAAATGCGACGGTAAGAGATTCTTCACAATTGTAAGCAAAATTGTTTATATGACCAAAATGAAATCTTTATCCCCAGTTATGCATTCGCTGTAGGTCGGTTCTGGTATGGTATCTCCACGCCCTCCCACCACGCACTGCTAAACTGGTTCAAACCATCAGCCCAGTGTTTGGTGTCCAGACATGGCAGGAAGCTCCAATCATGGAAAAGAAAACCCCTCGGGATATCATAACAAAATGCGCTATCTACAGGAAAAGCTTATTCCTATTAAGTGGGTTACCCTGTTGGTCCTCTGGAATTTTTGGGTGAAACCCTTGCCCTACTCTTTTTTCGCTGTATCTACCTGTTTTAAATTTCTTAACACAGTAATTGTGGGCGTCCTTACTGCCCACAGGAATAGCTAATCCTTTCCTGAAATTTGCTGAGCAGTCTCCCCAGCAGTATCTTGTGGCAAGGAATTGAATGTCTTATTCTATACTACCTAGGAAAGCCACTTACTTTTGTTTGTACTTCACTGCCTATCCCCCATTTCTCATATTATGATCAAAGGTGAATGTCTCTTCCCTCAGAGGAAATAGATCCAGTCTCTTGCAATCTGTCTGCAGTGGAAGTTTTCAAATTCCCTGATCTAATTTCCCTGAGTGTCCTACACTATATTGCATTTAATGGAGGGTTGCCAGAAATGGGAAGAATAAAGGAGTAAATTAGGTTTTTAGAAGTGCCCCAGATAGAGGCACAGTTGTTGTCGTATTTTGAAAATAAAAAAGATTACTTGATAGGAGTTCATGTGTTTCATCTGATAGGGTTGAAAAATAATAACAAAAAAAGATAATCAAAACTGGCTGGAGCTTCAGCAGAGACAAACACAGGCAAAAAAAATAAACATACAACACCAAAACAAAGACACAGTTATGAAAAATAAATCTCAGATGGGACCTTCTTCTTATCTGATTATTTAGCTGTTGTCACTGATACAACTACACCCATTTATCTGTAGTAGATCCTTTGATCTTAGTGAAACAGCCTGTATGTAAATTCCATTTGTAAGTGTCTGCATGACCAGTTTGTTACTGTCCAAGGACAGATCTCTCATCTTACATGTTATCTGGACTCTGGAGCAGTAGATACACAAACCAGTTCAAGCAGAAACATGAGAGAAGCCTTTGAGAACAATATCTCGGGCACCTTGAAGAAGCTTTTGCCCCAAGCACAATCAGCCTCTCCAAGCAAAGGAAGCCCCAGCAGTGCACCACTTGTTTCCGCTTCTAGTTTTTCCACTGAACCTAAATATTAGCTAATGTTGCTTCAGGTTAGGAAAAGAATCATAGAATCATAGAATGGTTTGGGTTGAAGGGATCTTTACAGGTCATCTAGTCCAACCGCCCTGCCATGAGCAGGGACATCTTCAACAAGATCAGGTTGCTCAGAGCCCCGTCCATCCTGACCTTGAATGTTTCCAGGGATGGGGCATCTACCACCTCCCTGGGCAACCTGTGCCAGTGTTTCACCACCCTCATCGTAAAGAATTTCTTCCTTATATCTAGTCTGAACCTACCCTCTTTTAGTGTAAAGCCATTACTCCTTGTCCTGTCACTGAAGGCCCTACTAAAAAGTCTGTCCCCATCTTTCTTATAAGCCCCCTTTAAGAGGTGAAAAGCTGCAACAAAGTCTCCCTGGAGCCTTCTCTTCTCCAGGCTGAACAACCCCAACTCTCTCAGCCTGTCCTCACAGGATAGGCGTTCCATCATTCTGATCATTTTTGTGGCCCTCCTCTGGACCACTCCAACAGGTCCATGTCTTTCTTGTACTGTCAATCCTACAGTTTTGCTGGAAGCATTTTAGTCTGGTTTTTGTTGAGTTGGATGCCATCCTGAGTGTTTTTTCCTCTGTGCTTTTGCTTAGCGCAATCCAACAGCTGTGTTTGTGACAAAGACGAGCGATGCGAGGAGGGAGGCATCCAGATCTGTGCTGAAGTGAGCAGCTCTGCTGCCCATCGGACCATGACCGAGTGTGAGGCTGGGCGGCTCAAATGCCAGGGGGAGACTGTCACCCTTGTCAGCATAAGGCCCTGTGATGTACAGAGCCAATAAGATGCGTTACAGTTCATTTTTCTTATCGCCATGGGATATGTCAAATCGTGTCAACTCTTGGGCAGGACATACTTCAAACCTTGCTCTGTAATGTAAGATCTGCTGTGAAGTCCACTGCAGCTGACGAGACGCTGTGCATCAGCTCTGGTCAGCTCTGAATCAGGGTCCAAGGCTCATCGTTAGGCAGAGCTGCACTCCCTGCTACTGCTCATGACAGGCCCCGGACTTAGCACTGGCAAGTTTACTTCACACTTCCATCAGAATTAAAAAATGTTCCTGAAGTGCAATTGCCAAAGGAGCATTTATAGTGATGAATTACAATGTCTAACACTGCAAATACATTTTACTGAAAGCCACACAAACATATGCTTGCAATGATTAGATTTAGATTGCAGAAAAAAAGAACAGGCTTTACAAAGTAAAACACATGATTCTTCTCTTCTAACGAATTAACATCTTCCTACTGTACCTTATTCAGTAGAGCAAACAGTACACACAGCATTGAGCCTGTCTTTGAGCCTGAAACTCTTAAAGGTCAAAGCAAAGTGCATTAATAGTAAAGTCAGCTTAAAGTAATGAGAAGGCTTCCTATGCTTGCAGCTTCTTGTACTCACAACTGCTTAATAAAAAATCTCCATTTTACTTTGTCATAACTATCATCATGAGCTACATTTGTAAGCACACGTAACTCCATTGCATTTGTCACATGCATTTATGTTTGTGCCAAGACCAGTTTCCTTACAGACCATTGCATATAGAGGCCTTCCACCACAGCAAAACTTTCTCAAAGGCAGCTATGAGGGAAAGTGTATGTTCACAGAAATGGAGACACTCTGCATACCGTTGGCCGGGAGATACCTTTGCACAATCTCCTAAGGCTGTTCCTAAATATTTTCCTTACACAGCTAAGCATGCTGTCTACCATGGTCAGACAGTGACATCTTTGCTCACATATGGTGTACCTTGCAGGTCCATTCAGGTACCTGTCCTGGCAGTCCGATCCCTTCTCACTATTCTCAGATGCAAATAAAGACAAAGGGCTGGATAGCAAGGGCATGATCAAGCAAGTGCACCACTATCCACAAGAAGCCTGTACGCTTTTTAAGTGACAGATTTTATTTCTTACTGTCAATAAATACCTACCAGATAAAACGTCTCTCTTGGTTTTCATGTTTGTACCTGTAGCTTCCTCACATAAACCCTACCCTCAGCTGGAAAAGCTTTGCTTTCCATGGCGCTGGCAATGAGGATTAAGCCAGAACAAGAGAGGTATGCTTTCCCATGGAGACTCCCTCTTCTGGGAGCAGCTATTTTGGAGGGCAAGGTTCCCACCGCACTGACTGAAAGGACCTCCTGACCTTTATTCTGTCTGGAACTTAATGGCACTTTTTTGTTTTTTGAGCAAATTGTAAATTTTTGCAAACACCTTATAGATGAAAACAAGTAGAATAAAAGCCAAATGAATTTAATCTGTTATTTGCTCTGTATTATTTGCTCAGGAGTAGCAGGTTTGGAGAGCAGCCTGATGTTTGTCCCTTGGTTAGTCCCAACTCTTTTGTCCACAATTTCTAGCCTTTTTCTTGGGGCAGCTGCACGACATGTGATTGGACCATGAGCCCACTGGGTAGCTATAGCTTTCATAGCTTCTGGAGGCAAGAGAAAATCACCTGGAAATTTCCTGATAGGTAGCACAGAAATAATAGTGACTTGGTGATTCATGTCTTCAAACACAGGGAAATGTAGAAAACCAGCACAGGGCCTCAAAAGATGTTGAGAATTCCTGCTTAAGAAACAGTTCAAAAAACCAATAAGGTTTCCTGATAGTCATCTCATTTTTTTTCAGCAGGAACAGATCTCCATGTCCATAAAATAAATTAGTCTGAGATAAGACAGACAAAATCTTAATGAACACTGCATTTCAAATGCCTCATCCAGTCCCTTAGATCTCACTGTTTTTCTGACCCATCCAAATCTTCACAGGGATCCTTTTTCTCTCCTTTTTCTTTCTAATTACCCACTCCATCTTTTCCCTTCCTACTTCTCAGCCCAGCCAGCTCCTTCCCTATAGACACCTCATAGACCCTTTCCCTCCCAGCCTCCTGCCCACAGGTGTCCAGCAAGGGTCCGCTGCCCTTCATTTGTGACACTGCAATCCTTTCCCTGCCTGACTTCTGCCACATACCGTTTCCAGTCTTGTATTTGCCCAGGTCAGAAAGTTCCATCATCCCTCCTGAAAATCTGAGAACATGATGCCTTTTTTTTGTTTTTTTTTTTTTTAAAAAACAACCAGCTGACTGCCTAATGCTGCTTGGGAGGGAGGAAGAGGTAAAGTGAGTAGGTAGAAGTTTTCTTCAGAGCAACATGACTATTTAATGAAGGAAAACCAGGTTCCTGTAGACCAGTGGCTGGGAGGACAATCTGTTCAATTGTTCATTCATCCCTATGGTGTGCACATCTGCTGGCCACACTTTGTCCCTTTAGGAGCAGAAGTATCCCCAGTCACCATAGTCCACCTCTTCACCATACTGTTGTTAAACTAACAAGCAACTGCAGGACGTTTTCTCTTGGTGAGAAAACAAAGTCAGATGGATTAGCGTCAGATGAGAAGAACAAAGAGGGGACCGTGGTTCCACAGAATCAATCAGCTTAGCAAAATTAGCTGGCAGAGAGCGTAAACCCCTTTGTTTTACCTGAGCATTGGGTGAGCATTTGCCCCATCACCATGTGTCAGGATCCTTGGGAGGAATTTTACATTAGATGACCTGAACTTTGGGCAGTTGAACTGTGAAGAACAGAAATACAGAGATGCAGGACTCTTCCATGGCAGACAACAGGCTTTTACAGGAACTTTTAAGTTACTGAGAGCATCGCTCTGCCTTGCTTTCACGTTTCACAGTCTATGAGGCCAGATCCAATGAGGCCTGCAATGCATACATGTTCCAAGAAGGAGTACCTTAATGTTAATGTTCATGCAGTATCATAAATATCTGCCCCTATTATTGATGAGATGAGACTCTCCCAAGGGTGTGTAGAGGGACCAACAGTTTAATATATTGTGTGAAGAGAGAAGGAGAAAGAATGAAGGAGAAAACTCATAGAAGCTGGTAAATTTTTGCACATGACATTAAAGTAAAAAAAAAAATTACTTTATAAGAAGTTGCTGAGAGACAGAAACCAACTGGCAAATTGAGTGATGCTGTGGCAGGTGATATTTAACTCAGATCGAGGTAAGGTAAACTTGTTATCCATACTGATGAGCCAGACACGTGGGATCATCTGAGGCCAGTGACTTGGAAGATATCATCACAAACTGCTCAGTAAAAAGGCTTGCCTGGTGCAGAGCAGCAGGTACAAGGACAGAGTGGAGGGACCGTTATAAAACAGTAACGCTGAAAAAATTCCTCCTCATTAACACTATTTGGTAAACAGTACCAGCATGTGGAGTGAAATTCAGCCTTCGTTGTTGCCTTGCAAAAAAGTGGTCCCCTGAGCAGCAGCACTACCAAGACCTGGTTTTCTAGGATTTTTTTTTTTTTTTAATGGATTCTCTGATGAATAAGAACAAGTCTGCACTGCACCCTTTCCCTTTGGGAAGACACAAGAGAGATCTTCCTCTACCCAGCTGGCTATTTTCATGGAAGATACTAAAGAATCAATACCTTTGAGACATCTAACCTTCCGTTACCTGTTGTTAAAAGGTAGACAACAGGTTCAAATACTGTTGAAGGGGCAACACAGATAGACAGATTCCTGCTCAAATGGCCCTGTGACAGGCTCCCTTTCTGAAAAATGGCAAGCTGGAAAAGGAAGAAGGAGATGCCCCAGAAGCAAAGGTGGGAAGGATACAGCGGGACTGGCACAGAGCAGTAGCGGTCCCAGGTTAAGCGTAAGACATGGATTATTTCCAAGCAGAACAGACAAGTAGCTAGCAGAAATTTAGGAAAAATAAAGCTCTTCTGATGTACCTTTTCCTAATGTGGGAGCAGCAAATTGACACCTGATGAGTGACAGACACTTTCTCTTCCTATATAGTGACATGGAAGAAGCTTCTCAACCTCCTCCCAGATGGGAGCCTGCCTGCATGGAAAAGATTTGGGACCAATGTGCATCTGGAGACTAACTGAAGGAGAACATTAATGTCCACCAACCTGCTGTTGTTAAACTAATGGTAGCACTAATTGTGTGAGCTACCATTTGCAAATCTCTTTTTCATTGGAGACTGTATATCCACAGTGTGCTTCTCACCGCTCCTTGAGCTCGCTCCCTGGCACCCATATCCTCCACCGTTCAGGGTGAGAGAGACATGGAGCAGGAGGCTGTGGTTCCTGAAGCACTCCCTTATCTGCAGCCCTGGGCGGGAACCTCCCAGGTGACAACGGATCCGCAGTTTAGTGCCCTGCCTAAAACAAAACATCACTAACTAAACCAAAGATGTTTTGAAGAAAAACTAACTTGAAAACATTAAAAAGCTGGTGTAAATAATATTTACAAGGTATTATTCCCCGCCACTGAGAAGTCCCTTTTCTCTCCTATTCTGTTAATGTTTTCTTTAGACATTCTTTGGTCAAGCGCACTTCCACTACTCCATCCTTTTTCTCGTAGGGCTTAACTTGCTGTTTTCCTTTGCTTGCCAGTTCATAACCTGATGAAACACGCTTGCAGTTTCTTTGGGGACAGATCTTTATATCTAATGATTTTGCCAATTGCTTTCAACCTGGGAGCTGTTGCACCACTTCTTTGTTCGTTCTCTCTCCAGCCCCAACAGAAGCTTAACCTCCTCCTGCCCTGGTCTTGTCACCACCTAAAGCCATTGCATCACCATATTCATAACATTATTACAGATCAGCTCCATTTCTACCACACTGTGGCTCTGCCGCATTGCTTACTGTGATGAGCTGCCACTGTAAGTAACAGCAGAGCCATTACTGTGTATGGCAGGAGGCACAGGAATATAAACTGCTATTGATTTCTTTCTCTCTCTACTGCAAAACACAGAAGAG